CCTCCTTTCTTGGAAAAAAATAAAAGACAAACGGAAAAAGGGGCAAATCCGAAAGAGGTGCATAAGAGTAAAAAAAAAAATGTTTATGGTTATAATAACTTTGCTTTGCAAAGGAGAATTCAAGAGCAAAACCAAGAAAAACTTTACAAAGACGCATATTCCGATAAAAACAGCAGAAAAGCATAAAAAGCTGTGAAGTTATAAGAAGCAAGTTTTAAAAAGGGGTTCTGCAATTGTGCATTACACAAGTGTGCATTATGTGGCACCGTTTGTACGGTAGAAATTAAAGGACCAAAATAAAGGGCCAGAGTGAGCTTTTGAAAAAAAATTAAAGGGCAGCTTTCTGAAATAAAGGACTGTCCTTTATAATAAAGGAGATATGGTCACCGTAAGTGTAGCGGAGCTTAGGGTTTGAGCTGGGCCTGGAGGAACGAGGGGTCTGGGGTTCTCTTACAGGAATTGGGAAGGTAGTTTTACCACAAGGGTTGGATTATTGGAGGGCAACAGGGTGGGTAAGGCTCTTTGCGTGATGGCGATGAGACAGGGAAGGAAAGAATGCCCTGCTTGTTTAGTAGAGTTTACTAAAGTCCCATCTAAACTGGAGCTGATGCAGGGATGAATTGACTGATTTTGCAAAATGGCTAACAAGCAAATATATGCACAGTCTTACAAACAGTTAATCAGAAGTCAGACTCCAAAGTTCAGTGGGCCCTACTTTCAGGTGAATGTGCAAATTGGGACGATCTAGTTGCAGACTCTTCTCCTCCTCCTCCTCCTCCTCCTCCTCCTCTACCTGCTTAGAGGTTAGCAGTGCAACCAAGCCATCTGGTGCAACCCCCATCCATAAGACTGTTACCGTGGTTTGCCCTTAGTGGAATGTGTGGACTCCCTTTGAAATATCTGTTGCCTATTTCTCAGAAAAGAACTTTCGACAAGGCAGCGCTGAGAACAACTGACTCCAGTCTAGCTCAGCTAAGCCTAACCTGGGTTTGAAGGCCTCCTTAGCAAAAGTCTCAAGACCGCAGTGGTCATCTGTAGCCCCGTTAGTGAGCTTGCAAGTGGAAAGAAGAATGTGAGGTCCTTGTTTGTGTTAAAAATGGCCATCTGCCTGTAAGCTTACTAGGAAGTCCCCAGGAATAGCTGAGCCTTCCACCCTTTCAAAGATACGCGAATAGCCTGTTAACCTCAATCCTTTTCTGATGTCCCAGGCTCAGGCATGATCCGAATCTACACCTTGGAGGGAAAGGCCTTTGTATGGAACTACACAGATGTGCGGCGAATCCGAGAGGAACATCGCATCGTCGGTGTGCTGGTGGGGGCATTGCCTCGGAAGCCACGGCAGAATGTGCGGCTTGGACTTCCCTTAGAGTTGCTTCCTGAAGAGGCTCGGCTGTTATTGGAAAAGGGGTTGGCAACCTTGGTTAAGAACCCAACATCCCAGTCCCTTGGCGATGACAGGAGCCAGGTAATGGTTTAACTGGTTTTTGATTCTTGGGTTAAAAGTAGAGGATATGCTCCCTTGTTCCCAAACTCTGCAGAGTGCAGAGATCAATAGTCTGCAAGACACATTGAGGCATTCCTCTAATCCAGGGTTTCTCAATCTTGGCAACTTTAAGATGTGTGGACTTCAGTTCCCAGAATTGCTGGCTGGGGAATTCTGGGGGTTGAAGTCCACACGTCTTAAAGTTGCCAAGGTTGAGAAACCCTGATCTAATCTCTTCCAGCAACAAAATTATGACTTAGTATTAGCTTTTCTAAACAGCCATGTCCCTTTTTTCTTCCCCTTCCTCCCTAGGCTGTTCAGATATCATTGTAACTCCACAATTGGAGAATCCAGGAAGTAGGCATTGGTTTTACGTTCTGTAGTCTCTCTTCCTGGCCTACACATGCAGCAGAATTGAGTACTGGAATGCTGATGGGGGTGTATCACTTCAGACTGCTGATAGGAATTATCCTTTCCAAAAGTTCTCTTGTGTTTTGGGGAAAAAACGAAGTTAGTAAAAAGTACCAAAGCAATTTCAGTAGAGCCCCTTGATTTTATGTTACTTTTCAGCTGGCAGTGAATTTTTCCATGTATGATCCTGAGTGTGTAGGTGTGTTTGAGAGGTATCTCACTTCATTGCAGATAAGGCGAGGTTTATTTTAGAGCTCTGAATTGGATTATTCTGGAGCCCAGAGATAGGAAGGTTGTTCTAGGTGGCTTTTGCCAATCCGGTCCCCTCCCAGTACCCCTTACCAGCATGGCCAACCTGTCTGGTCCTCACTGTGGGCCCATGTTGCCCACGTTGAGCTTGCTGCCTCGTGTCTCCAGGATCCCTTATTCCCAGGGAAAGTGGCCGCCTACGAGAAAGAACTAGAGGAGAACTACCAGGAGCAGCTGAGACTCTCTGCAGAACAGAGGAAGATCGTCTTGGACTCTCTTGCAGACCGTATAGCCCAGGGCCGAGCAAAGAAATGGCAACAGAAGGGAGAAGGAGGAGGTGAGCTAGTGTGTGTTATTTGGCTATTATTATGTTTAGAAACCCTGAAACCATTTGGACAGGATGGACCAATCCCAAATCATTTTTCCATTGCTGGAAAGAAGCAGGGTCTTGGGTAGAGTAGGCTGTTCCAAGGATTCTGCTTGAGGTGCCTAAATATTTCTGCCCCCAACCTATGCTCCTGAGGTGTTATAGTTCTTAGCATTATGAGTGGCGTGATATAATATTCATGCCCAGGAAAATCCTCTGAATCATAACAGCAATAGATCCAAGATTAAATTTAGCTGTTGGTATTTACTACTAATAATATCACAGAACCTCCTGCTTTACAGTTCTGCCCACGCTTTCTTTTATTTGATCTCACTATTGCTAGCCTTGCATTTAAGTGGCAGACAGCTGGGCATGCAAAGTGGAATTTTATTTATATGGAGTGACAAGTTCTTGTTTTTCAATATTTGGTTGAACAAAAATCACTCTCTATGGAGAGAAAAATATAATTGTGGACATTCTAGGGACTTCGTTCAGCTGTATCCTGGGGAAAAAATTTTTTTTAGCCTATTTTGTCTGTGGGGAGGCCTGTTCATTTACATATTCATATTCATGTGCAAAAGTAAATCAGATCACCCCTTCTTCCTTTTCCAGATCCCCTTGTACAGCCTGTAGAGTCAGGTTCCAGTTTTGTACTTCCGCGAGAATCCATGATGATCCAGCTCCCCACTGAACAGACTCAGAGAACTGAGGAAGAGGAAGTAAACTGGCACGTAGCATCCCAGCTCTGGCCTTATGCTGGACAAGAGAACCATGAGATGCGCTACTGCATTTTCCGAGACCTCTGGGAAAGAGGCTATTATGTCACAACTGGGAGCAAGTTCGGAGGCGACTTCCTCATTTATCCAGGTGGAGGCAGACTTCTCAGGAACTCTACAAGAATGTGTGTGTGTTGGAGCAGTATTGAGTCTGTTGAGGGAGCCTCTTCAAGTGAAGAATGATGGCTTAAGCTTTGTATACGTGAGGAAAGGAAGTTAAATACAGCTAAACAGGTGTCCCTTCTCTGTTGTCTCTGGCCCAAGTGTGAAGCCATGATATCCTGGGCTCATATAACGTTTTGAGTTATAAATCATGGTTTACAGCACACGGGTTGTAAACTACAACATGCTAAGCCAGAACCACATTATGGCTTATTGCGATATGTTATTCTCATTCTGTATGTGAGTTGTACAGACAGGAAAAGCAAAAAGAAGATTGAGGTGGGAATGGGGGATAGGGAGGCTGTCCTACAAACGGAGTAAAATAGGCCTCCTCAAAGACTGTTTCTATCAGTCTTCCTGAATTTGGTATTCCCCAGATGTCCGAGACCTCATAATCTTCTAGTGGACATGGCTGTCAGATAAAGATATTCAGAGTAGGTGATTCCCCAAAGCTCGTGTGTTAAAGGACACCCACCTTTAATTTACCTGTCTCCGGATACTAAAAGTTGCCCATTTAACTGGGCTTCCCCAAGACATCTTAAGAATGGGTTTGCACATGCAGACTGTATGAAGAGGTCCTCAGCAAACTGCTGCAGCATTTTTCCTGGCAGGGCAAATACCTAGAGAACAATTTCTGCTTTTCTCTTGATGGGAAGTATATAAAACAGGTTTTCTTCCAGACTAATGAGCAAACGTTGAGGACACCATGTCTTAAAAAAGAGACCAGCCTTACTGCCGCGCTAACTCTTCACTCTCCTCTTTTGATAGGTGACCCCATGAGGTTCCACGCCCACTACATCGCACTCTGTTTTTCTAAAGATGCACCCATCTCTCTGTGTGACATCATCAGCGCTGGACGCCTTGGCACCAATGTCAAGAAGACTGTCTTGCTCTGTTCAGTGGACCAGGGGGGAACTATAGCATATACATCCTTACAGTGGAGCGGGATGCAGTGAGAACAGGGAGGAAAGGCACAGGCCCTAGGATTCCTATTTCCAGCTGTGGTGAGGTCTGGAATTGCTAGGATATTCTTTGACAAGAACTATTGTCTCGTATTCATCAGCTCAGCATCCTCCAGTTCCCAGAATTCTCAGCCACCATGAGTAAAAGTACTGGGAATTCTGGGAGTTGTAGTTTCAATACATCTGAATTGAGGATGTTATGCAGGTAGTCCTTGACTTACGACCATTCGTTTAGCAACCATTTGAAGTTACGATGGTGCTAAAAAGTGACTTGCAGCTGGTCCTCGCACTTATGACTATCCCAGTGTCCCTGCGGCCACGTGATCAAAATTCAGGTGCTTGGCAACTGGCATGTTATTTACAACAGTTGCAACATCCCGGGATCACGTGATCACCATTTGCAATCTTTCCACTGGCTTCCAACAAGCAAAGTCAATGGGGAACCATGTGATTTGCTTAACAACTGCGGCAAAAAAGGTTGTAAAATCAGGTGCAGTCATGTGATGCATTGCTTAACAACCACACTGCTTGACAAACTTTCCAGTCCCTTATTGTGGTCGTAAGTTGAGGACTACCAGAGGTTGGTAATACAGATAGTCCTTGGGTTACAACAGCAGTAGGGACCGGAATTTTTGTTGCTAAGCGATGCAGTTGTAAAGCATGATGTCACATGACTGCATTGCTTAGCGACAGCAATCCCAGCAGTCCCTTTTATTGTCGTAACCCCAGGACCATGCAGGTCACTAAGCAAGGACCTCACGTGACCACAACGTGGGAAGAAGCGGGAGTCCCAGGCCAGCAGGCAAGAGCTATGGGTGGGTGCTACAGAGCATGGGTGGGCAGGTGCCACAGGTGGGTGCTACAGAGCATAGGTGGGTGTCATGGGCAGGTGCTGCAGATGGATGTTATGGAATGTGGGTGGGCAAAAAAGCGGTGGGAGCGACTTGCAACCTCCTGTTGGTTTCCCCATTGACTTTGCTTGTGGGAAAACATCAGAGGTGGTTACAAATGGCAATCACGTGACCACAGGACACTGTGACTGTCATAATTGCAAGATGGTTGCCAAGCACCCAAATCTTGATCACATGACCATGGGGAAGCTGCAGCAGCCACAACTTTGAGGACTGGTCATAAGCACCCCTTGTTCAGCACCGTCATAACTTTGAACAGTCGCTGAATGAGTGGTTTTAACCCAAGGACTACCTATAATCGACATTACACTTATGCATATCAATTATAAAAGTATCCTTAGCTATCTCAGTATACGTTATTTGTGTTGCATGGTGGTTAGGAATATGATATCCTAAAGATGTTGCTGAAGTACAGCTCCAAGTAGTTCCTACTAGACTAATAAGTGTTGCTCTCCATTAACAATATCAGAAATGTTTCAGGTTCAGCACTACTATCTGTGTGAACAGAAATGTTACAATAGAGGGGTAGGCAGCCTAGTGCCTCCCAGTATTTTGGATTACAGTTCCTACAATCCCTTGTTCCATGTCACTTGGCACTGAAGTCCACAAGATCTAGAACAGTGTTCTCAACCTTGGCCATTGTAAGATGTGTGGACTTCTTGGCCATTGTAAGATGTGTGGACTTCAACTCCCAGAATTCCTTGGCCATTGTAAGATGTGTGGACCAACTCCCAGAATTCCCCAGCCAGCATGGCTGGCTGGGGAATTCTGG